GACACACGCACACACACTTTTTTGCGTCGGCGGCTAGCAGAGTGATTGCGCTGGCGGAAGAGCAAAAGTTGGACGAACACTTGCGAAGCACACGCGCTTGTGGTCGAGGCGGCGGCCCAGTGGGGGCCCGATTCTGGTCCCCCCGCTATACGCACTCACCCAAGGAAGCCGTGCCCGCAGAAACGGCCCTCGCAAAAATTTTGGGGTCAAGAGTTTCAGGGCACACGTAACGAAAAAGCCACGACGGCGGAGATCTGTAGCCGAGTGCTGGCTGCACACGACCACAGGCTGGCCGCCGAGCGCCACGGCCTGCACGTTGGTCAGGGGCACGCGGGTGCACGCGGACCTGTCTGCCGTGTCAACAGGGGCCCGGGATGCGAAGCCAGACTCAGGTTCTTCCACCTCTCCTGCCCCCCTCACTCGGCCTCTTCCTACCCCGTCCCCCTCCTCGCACCTCCTTCCAATCGCCCCCCAGCCGATGACCCCCGCGTCTGGATCTAGACTTGGGCCACGTTTCGAGCAGTTGACCAGCCTGGCCAGCCCAAAGAGCTTTACCTTGGGCGCCTACCACACGGCCGTGATAGCACAGGACGGGGTCGTTACCGCGGGGTGGAACGGCTTCGGCATGCTGGACGACGGCAGTAAGACGGACAGCAGCAGTTTTATGTTGACGGTGACGCCCGCTCCTACGCGCTGGCGCCAACGCCAGCCCCGACCTCTATGCCGACCCCCCGCCAAGGCCCGAAGCAACACTTGCGCCAACGCCAGTGCAGGCCTACGCCCCGTCGCGTTTCCAACGCCTGCCCCGACGTCCGCAGCGACGGCAGAACCAACGCCTGCCCCAACACCTGGGCCGACAGCTGCCCCAACATCTGCACCAACACTCGGGCCAACATCCGAACCAACGGCTGTCCCAACGTCTGCTCCCACGGCTTCGCCAACGCCTTTGCCGACGGTGGCGCCAGCGTTTGCCCCGACACCGGGGCCTACATCTGCCCCAACACTTACACTAGCACCACTGTCAACGTCCGAACCAAGGGCTGCGCCAACGTCTGCTTCCACGGCTTCACCAACGCCTTGCCGACGGCGACGCCAGCGCTTGCCACAACACTTGGCCTACATCTGCCCCAACATGTGCACCGACACCGCTACCAACGACCGAACCAGTGGCCGTGCCAACATCGCCACACACGGCTTCGCCAACGCCATCGCCGTCGGTTGCACGTCCGCCCCAACGCTGACACCGACGTCTGCGCCAGCACCAACGGAAGTGATTGTGCCAACAGTTCCACCAACGTCGGCACCGATGCTTGTGCCACCGCAGGCCCCAACACCGGCGCCATCGACAACCACGGTTGCAGGCAGCATGAGGTTGAGCTTCGGCCACAACGAGGTAGCGGTGGCTGATCGACAGGCGAAAGAGGGCGTCGAGAAGGGCAGCGCCGTCAGCAACGGCCTTGCCGAGGAGAACGCAGAAATTGTTGAGGCGACCCTGTCCTTTGTGAAGTCGAGGCGGCTCAGCGCTACCATCCGCCGGCTCTCTGGCTACTCAGTCCAAGTGAATTTCGAAATCAACTTCTCAGCAGAGTATTTGGCCTCGATCAGCGCCAGCGACGCGGCGGACCTGCTCGCATCGGTGGACGAGGACAGCATGAACAGCGCGCTGTCGGGAGCCATCGCGTCGGTCGCCGACGCGGAGTGCGCCGTGGACGTCGCAGAGCTGGCAAGGGTGGACACTTTCACAGCGTCAGCGCCGCATCTGAGGCGGATTCCTCATCATCGCTGAAGGCGGCCGCAGTTGTGATCGGGGTCACTGTGATCAGAGGCTGGGCGATTGCGCTGGGCGTGGTGCACTTCCGTCGAAGAGGGCGACCTCCCCGGGAGCCTGCAGAGAAGCGAGCGCCGCAGCGCGAGCCTTCGTGCGAGCTCTTGCGCAAGTTTTCGGAGTGCTCTGTTTAGGCATGTTCAGGCGTTTGGTGTTATTTTGTCCTTCATGCATCGCGCAGCATGGAGGGGTTGATGGACTGGGGGACGGGGGCCTCGAGGGGCATCCACGCAAAATATCGCCCAGTTGGTGCCCCCGTGGCATTGCCTGGCGCCTTTCGCCATGCTGTTGACATGCACACATACAGATTGGCCTCTTTGCCCGGATGCAGCGCCCGAGTTGTGCCGACAAATATTTTCGCAGGCGACCTGCCTCCTGCCTCCCCCTCTCGCCCCCCCCCCCCCTCTTCCTCATCTCCATTGCCCAGCTTGCACGCTGCGTGTTTCTGAAAAGCCTGATCATGCCAGCTTTGCCCGCGGAGCTGCCTCAAAGGGCGTGGCGCATGCGCTCTCGCTCTCGGTTGACCGACAAAGAGGGCCACGACGGCGGTCGGAAGCGCGGGCGCAGCGAAAGCTACCGAGACCATCATAGCGATTGTGGCCATGGCTCAGACGGAGCAGTCCGCCGTGCCAATCAGGCGAAGATAGGCGCAGTGACTGGCGCGCCTCGTGGAGCCTTCCAAGACTGCATTGTTTCAAGTCGGTCACCCGCGCAATGCGGGCACAGACGTAGAATGTCGCCCCTCCGTTCCTCTGTTTCTGTTTTTGAGGTGCTCCTCACTTTTTCGCTCCGTCTCTCACTCTGAAGCTATTTGCTTTGTTTCCCTACGCATTGTCTCAGCGTGGCTGAGTTCCCGACGCACTCATGCATGGCAGTTTGCTGCGAGCCTGGAGCTCACAGCGCACTGCTGCGAATCAAAGAAATGAACGTCCAAACTTGTAATAATTTATGTATAATTATATTTATATACACAAGACTGCATTGGCGCTTCGCGCCATGCACCTTGGTCCTTGAAGTTTGGTCTGAAGGCGGAATGGCAGGAAGGTCAAGCCGACAATTTAGCGATAACTCCTCGTTGCCTTTTCCAGCGTCGCCGTTAAAATAATGTTATTCGTCATCATTGCTTGCAGGCGTCAGTGAGTGTACGGCCCCTCCCGAGGCGGCCAGGTAGTAGGCCAGAGCCCAAGGAGGCCCTGGCGTGAGCGTTAGGCCCATAGAGGCCCTAGTGCATGATTTGGGCCCTAAGAAGCCCCCCCTGTGCAAGGCCCGTGCAGGCCTGTACTGAGTGGAGCGGGGCGTCCCCGCCGAAGCTGTTATGGCTCGAAGATGATCTATCGAGTGAGATCGTCATCTCTGCATGGTGACAGTTCGTGAGGTTGCCTGAACCTACCCTTCAGGCCTGTGGCGCCAGCGCGCCATGGCGGCCGACAATGGAGCAGCTGGGGTGCAGCTGCTAGACTCGCGTGGGATCGGCGAGGTGCCGACGTTCTCAGGCAAGAGGGAAGACTTCGAGGATTGGATCTCCCCGTTCGAGTCATTCTGTGGCCTGCTGGGCTGGACGGCGGGCCTGGAGCGAGCAAGAGACGCTGAGGAGCCGCTGACCGCGGACGACCTCGGCGAGCAGGGAGTGCTGGTAGGCAGGAGCTTGTACCACCTGCTGGCGAGCACTACGAAAGGCACGGCGCAGAGCGTCGTGAAGCTCTGCCCGCGAGGCGACGGCTTCGAGGCAATGAGGAGGCTGCACAAGGAGTACAGGCCGCGACTGAATGAGGAGCACGGCCAGATGCTCCAGCAGATCCTTACGCCGACGTGGTGGAAGGATCGCGAGGGTAAGGAGCGCTTCACGGAGGTGCTGATCGCTTGGGACGAGTTGATCTCAAGGCATGAGCGCGCGACCGGAGAGCAGGTCACGCAGAATATGAAGACGAGCACGACCATGGCCCACGCACCAGAGGAAGTGAAGGTCATGCTACGCTCGGCGCAGCGCGAGGTGCGCAGCGACATCACGCAGATGAGGAACTGCATCTTCGAGGCGGTGATCGGCCAAAGTGGAGTGGTCTCGCGACCTCCGACGGCGAACAAGGGGAGCAACGACATGGACGTCGACGCGATCTCCAAGGGCAAGGGCAAGGACAGCAAGGACAAGTGCCAGATCTGCCACAAGCCAAGCCACACGGCCCGCGACTGCTTCTGGCGTGACAAAGGGAAGCAGAAGGGCGACGGAAAAGGTCGAGGAGCAGCCGCGGGAACCAAGGGCGGAAAGGACGCCAAAGGCAAAGGCAAGGACGGCTACACCTTCACGGGGAAGTGCGACTATTGCCATAAGACGGGCCACAAGAAGGCGGACTGCAAGAAGCGAATCGCAGATGAGAGGTCCAAAGGCAACGCGGCCATCGAGCAGGAGAGCACGGACCCGAAGACGGTGGCCAAGATCGAGTACGCGGAGTACGAGTGCGGGATCTGCGACGACGACCAGCTCTACTGTATGGCGATGGAGGTGGAGGATCCCGAGACGGAGTGCTGCGGCATGGAGCTCGTGGAGACGACCTTCACCACGTTGGACACCGCGAGTGACTGCCACGTGGGGCCGACTTTCTTCGGAGAAGGATGCAGGAAAGGAGAGGATCACGGCCCGAGGCTGCTGGACGCGCAGCGAAATTAGATCAAGATGGGCTCCATTGCGACGGTGCCGATGGCGGTTACTGACGAGTGCGAGCAGCTGAAGTTGCTGAAAGCAGACTTCAGGCTGGGTGACACGGTATCGAAGCCAATCCTCTCGCTGCTGGAGGTGATGGATAAGGGTGCCGAGTTCTGGCTGAGCGCGAAGACGGGCATGTGCATGTGCCCTGGCGGCGACCTCAGCAGGGGCATCCCGCTCACCAGGAAGAACAACACGCTGGGATTCAACGCGAAGACCTTCAAGACAGCTACGGAGGCGAAGGAGTTCGCGGCCAGCGTGAACGCAAATGAGCAGCAGGAGGAGGCGTTCGTGCCAGCGCCTGGGGCTGCGGGCAGCGGAGCAGCGACAGCGGCACCGGCTGCACCTGCGGCTGCCGCCTCGGATCCAGAGCGAGGTGGAGCAGCTGGGGGCGCGGGAAGAGAGCGACTGGCTCGACATCCTGTGGTGCTACGCGAAGGGCAGGAGATCGTCCTGCACCCTTCCAGCCGCGTGGAGGACATGCGGGCAAGGCTCAAGGAGATGGGCCAGCCAATCTACGGCAGAAAGGACGAGCTGTGGGCCAGGCTCAGCGATGCGGAGCGGAGGCTCACGGCGCACCACCTGAAGATGAAGGAGTTGGAGCGCAGGCACGAGGAGTCCGTTCAGGGAGGACCCGCGATAGCACCGCGAGAAGTAGCAGGGCCAGCAGCGCCCACGGATGCAGAACGAGCAGCTCATGAACTGCTGCACCTCACGAGGGCGCCGTGGCGCGAAGCCTGCGTGCGGGGGAACGAGACGACCAAGCCGCACAAGACCCTCACATTCGACCAGAAGGACACTGGGAAGGCGCAGATCACCCTGGACTTCTGCTACCTGGAGACCAACGGCGACTGGACGGAGATCGGAGATGAGGAGCCGCCAGCGGCGGACATCTTCGCGACGACGCTCGTGATGGCAGACAGGGGCACGCTGATGTTCAATGCAGTCTCGATGCCCACCAAGGCGGTCACGGACTACGCAATAGCCAGCGTGAGCAGCTTCATTGAGGGCATGCATCTCACGACGGCGGACATCAAGACGGACGGCGAGCCCACGATCGTCAACCTGGTGGAGGAGGTGCGGAAGAGGCTGAGCAAAAGCATCAAGCTGGAAGAGAAGCGTGGGAACCTGAAGGACAGCCAGAGCATGGGCGCGATTGAGGCTCCGATCAGATGGTTTCAGGCGAAGGTGAGGACGTACAAATTCGACCTGGAGAAGCGCTATGGCATGAAGATCACAGCGGACGCACCGATCTGGTGTTGGCTTACACGATACGTTAGCTGGGCTACCTCTACGTACCGACCACGAGCCGATGGGAGGACGTCCCATCAGGCAGCCTACGGAGTGACCTACAACGGAGAGATTCTCCCCTTTGGCGAGACGGCTCTCTTCAAGACCCCGATCTCCCACACGAGGCAGATCACGGCTACGTCCCTGAAGCATAAGGGCGAGTCGAGTTTCGTGAAGGGCATCTGGATCGGGAAGCACAAGGAGAGCGACGACCACCTGTTCTTGACGCCAGCGGGCTGGCACCGCGCAAGAACATGCAGGCGGCTGGAGCCAGCATTGCGGGCAGATGACAAGCTGATGGTCCTCGACGCCAAATGGGGAGGAGGAGGAGGAGGAGGAGGAGGAGGAGGAGGAGGAGGAGGAGGAAGAGGAGGAAGAGGAGGGTTCTGCCCTCCTGGGCGATCCTGCCCTCGGGCGCCGCTCTCGGCGGTGCCGCGCGGGCGAGCGCGGTCGCGGCAGCGCGCCCGTCCCGCGGTTGTCGCCTCTCCCTCGGGGCCGGGGTCGTGGTCTCTCGGGCTGCTGTCTCGAAAGGGGGCGCTTCGGACCACGGCGCCTCTGAGGGAGGAGGAGGAGCAGGCAGGAGGAGAATCAGAAGGAGGAGGCAGGGGTACAGGTGGGAGAAGGGAGGGGGCAGGAGGAGATTCCCCAGGCAATTGAAACAGATTCTCGTGTGGGGTCCTTCCGTCGGGGCATTTCCAGGCCCATTCGCCTGACATTGCTGTCTGCCTTTGTCTTCGGGCCAGGGCCGCTCGCTATACCGCCAGAGAGCAAACGGGTCCTGAGAGAAATGGGTCTTGAGGTTTTTCAGCGTTTTTCGCTTGCCTGGACCCTCAGCGGGCCTTGAGACTGTTGGAGAACGATGCAGGGCAACAAATTGGTCGTGAAAGAAGGCCCCAGGGTCAAGGACCCGTTTCCCTCGGGACCAGCTTGCGTCATGGCAAGCTGACGAGCGGGAAAAACCTTCGCTGCAGATGCGTCGCCAGAGGCGCCGCCAGGGGGGGGGTCAGCGCCGATCCAAGAAATCAATGCAGACCTTCGAGAGCGCATGTTTCCACATCCGAAGCGGGGTTCGTGCTTTCTCGGCAAACCCCGCGCAAGAACCTCACACCCCATCCTCGCATCATCTTTCTCATCATCCATTTGGGCTCCAGGGACGCGAGAGAAGAGGCGTCGCGGGCCGCTGCCCATCGGAGCCGCCGCACGAGCAGCACGAACGATGAACCTGGCGGCGGACGAGGGAAGGCAAGCCTTGGTCAGACAGGTCTCGGACCACCTCGTGAAGGGGAACGTCCGTGCCGCCGAGGCTCTCCTGAGCAACCGGCACGCGTGCAACAAGATCTTCTACCATTCCGTCATCAGTGCGTGCGCCAGGGCCCGCTGCCCGGGCGGCGCCTCGTGGGCGGTCGACCGCATGGTACAGGTGGGCCTGATGCCCAACATTGTCACCTTCAACTCCGTCTTGGATGCATGCGCCAAGGCAGGGGACGTCCCGCGGGCGGTCGAGTGGTTCGAGCACATGCAGAGTCAGAGGGTTCAGCCGAACAGCATAACCTATAACACCATGATCAGCGCCTTCTCGCGCGCTCATGACGTCGTGGGCGCCGAGACGTGGATGAGAAAGATGGTGAACGCGGGCATCGAGCCCAGCGTCATGTCCTTCAGCACCATCATCGACGTCGCCGCCAAGGCGGGCAAGATGAACAAGGCGGAGGACTGGTTCCAGGAGATGCTGAAGTTCGGGATCTCCCCGGACGCGGTCGTCTTCAACTCCCTCATCAACTCGTGCGCGAAGGCGTCGAGCCCCACCAAGGCCGAGCAGTGGCTGCTGATGATGGGGGAGGCCGGGCTCCGCCCGGACGAGAAGACCTACAACTGCGTCATCAGCGCCTGCGCGAAGCTCGGGCTCGCCGAGCGGGCGGAGTACTGGTGCGCGGCCACGCGCCGAAGGGGGGTTGGGGGGGAGAGGGGTGAGGGCTTCTCAGAAGCACCCTTGCTTCTTGGAGGGCGCGCGCGTACGCCATGTATGCATGCTGTGCCAGTGGAGTTCTTTAGTGCCGCAGGGGTAGCGGCTCCGCCTTCGACCCAGGATGGTCATGTTACGTCATCGGAGTGGTGCTGTCCCCGAAGGCCCTCAGCACTTGGGCGGCTCCCCGCCTGTCGTGGCCGCCGCTCGGCCTCGGCACTGCCGGCCGGCTCGGTCGCTCCCGTGTCCTGCCTGTCGCGGGCTTCCCAGCTCGATTAGTTTTTTTGTTTTTTTGAAAAATGTAAGGCTGGCGCCTTCTAAGAAGCAGCCTCCTTCTAAGAAGCCCTCCCCCCTACCTCCACCCCCTTGCGCGCGCCGCCGAGGTTCCACGAGATGGAGAAGAACGGATGCAGGGTCGACAACGTCAGCTTCGCATCCATCATCCACGCGAGCGCCAAGAATGTCGACGTGGGCAGGGCGGAGGAGTGGTTCGATGCGATGCTGGACCGCGGGCTCTCCCCGAACATCGTGTGCTTCAACACCATGCTGCACGCGTGCGCGCAGAAGGGAGACACCGCGGCGGCGCTGAAGTGGTACAAGCGCATGCTGTCTTGGGGCCTTCAGCCCAACACCATCACCTTCAACAGCATGCTGGACACATTCGTGAGGCAGCGCGACCTGGGTATGGTCAAGGACTGGCTGGAGAAGATGGCGGTCGCCGGGCACGCGCCGGACAACGTCACCCTCGTCACGCTGGTCCGCTTCTGGCAGGGCGACGTGGCCAGCGGCGCTGGCGGCGCGGAGAGCCACGCGCGGGCGTGCGACCTGATCGCGGAAGCCTGCCGCAGGGCCGGGGACGCCGAGGGCTCCCGGTACTGGCGCGTGGCGCGCTCCGAGGCGCCGTCCAGGGGGCGCGCTGGCAAGACCGCGTGGCCTCTGGCGCTCAAGCTGCGGGGGGGCCGCGGCGAGGACGCCGGGGCCAAGGCCGTGCCGCCGGCGCAGGCGCAGCCGATTCGCTCGCAGTTCACGCTGGTGCCGCCCGGTGTGGACTACTTCGAGGCCGCGGGCGCCGCCGAGGACGCCGCGGATTCCGGCGGCGACGCCGCCGCTGGCCCGCAGCCGTGGACTCCCGGCACGGCGAGCGACTTCCCCTCCTCGGGCAGCTCCAGGTCCACGAGCGCGCTGTCGATCGAGGACTGGATGCTCGCGGCGGCGGCCCGGGACCCGCGGGCGCTCGAGCTGCTGCGCGCTCCCGACCAGGGCGAGGTGCCCGTGTACTTTCGCCTGAGCCTGTGAGGCCCCCCTCCCGATAGAGGATACGGTGCGGTGCTCCTCCGCTCCCCCTCCCCCCCTCCTTTTCCTTCTCCCTCTTCGCCTCTCCCCTTCGCCATCCCTCCTCCCCCGTGCCGTCGCGGATCCTTTGACGCGAGAAGTGCTTGCCGCGCCAGCTGAGTCCGAGCTGCTGATGCGATCGCAGATTCTGGTGTTGGCCTCCATAATGCGTGTGGGGTGTGGCCATCCGCGTTGACATACTTCGGAGTGTCCCTCCTTCCTTCCGCTCCTTTCCTTTAGCGCGGGATACGGTGGGTCTGCGGCAAGGGCCACTGGCAGCCCGCCCTCCCGCATGCTGGACACCTGCAGGCGCTCGCCGGCCCAACTTTCCATGCGGCTCGACCGCGCGTGCTGTGGTGCCGAGGCCCCCGTGGATGTGTTCATCACGGGCGAGCGCCCAGCACGGCATTTCCAGACTCATGCACATCACCCTCCTGCGCCCGAGGGAGGCAGTCCGTCTTTCCGCACCCTTGCAAGACGAGTTCTGCATGCCTGCGTTCTGGCCTGTCTTGTGCAGTTCCGGCCCAATAGCCGTGCGGGGTACGGTCGAATGTCTGCAGCAGACGGGATCACGCTCGCAGGAATGCCGTGCGATCGGCGAGCTCCCGCGGGGGGGGGCGCAGCAGAGTCGAAATGGGGCGCGCTGGAGGACCAAAGACAGAGCGAGCACAGCATTGGCACGAAATATCAAGCATGGTAACAAGAAAACAAGATCTCCGGCGTCCCTGTCGCACTCCCCCCACCGCCGAGCTCCTGCACGGGAGCGCTGCGCAGCACCGTGATTTGTCTCGTTGACCTCCAGTCTCGTCCTGCACCGTTTGCGACTATGTGGTTCTCCCTCGCGTGCCCAACGCGAGCTTTTTGCATTGCTCCGATGTCAGGTTGTTTGGTCACGCTTTGACCGTTTAAACTGCAGGTCCTCCCGCAGTTTCCGATCAGATTGGCATACAGTATGGAGCCCGACAGTCGAGCAGGAAGACGCTATCCGATCGGGCCCGCAAATGTTGCGCGTTTTAAGAGCGTCTGCGACGCTGCTGGCGGGCGCTCCACTGGGACAGTCCAGTGCGAGTCTGGCTCTCCAAGCGAGCCCGAAGCTGTTGGGCGTCTGTGACGCAGTCGGCGGGCCTGGCACTGGCACAGTCCCAGTCCGACACCGCGAGCGAGCCCGCAGCTGCTGCCACACGAGTTGCCCTGCGTTTGTCTTCCCTGCTGCTAGGCGGCCTTCCTGGTCCCAAAGGCTCATGGCGAATGTGTTTCCCTTGCAGCAATGCGGCTGTGCCGGCGCGCAGCGCCTTTTTCAAGGTCGGTCCCATTTGTTTCTTTTTCTGCTCCGCACGAGGTCCAGATTCCGACAACATTGCTGCTGCAGTCACGATCCGCTCACAGCACGCGCCGTGCACAAATCAGTGCACGCCGGACAAGTCGAGGGTCTCCTCCGCGTGAGCCCGGGCCTTTCGAACGGAGCTGGGTGAGGACGGGAAGGGAAAGAATGAGAGGAGGAGGACGACGAGGATATTAGCACAATATCGCTGTGACCTGGGAGCCCCGCACACTGTGGTCCCAGACAGGAAGCATCTGTCGAGCGACATGGCCACTGAGCGGCGTCATTTGCGCACCCGTCCTCGGGGGCCCGCTAGACACTAGGCATGCACTTGCATCGGGCCGCTCTGCGAAGCCTGACCTAGTGGACACAGCAACAACAAATCATCATTATCAACATCATGATCAGCAGCAACATCACCATCACACACCATCCTCTCATCATCAGTATCATCACCATCTCCATCGTCATCGCCATCATCATCATCATCATCATCATCATCATCATCATCATCATCATCATCATCATCATCATCATCCTCATCATCATCATCATCATCATCGTCATCGTCATCGTCATCATCGTCATCACCAGCAACATCATCATAATCATCATCATCATCATCGTCATCATCATCATCATGCTTATGCTCATGATCATCACCATCGTCGGCGTCGCCGTCATCAGCATCACCATCATAACCGTAATCATAAACAGCATCGTCTTCATGGTCGCCATCATTACCACCACTGTCACCATAATCATCATCACAATCGTCATCATGAGCAGCACCAGCAGCAGCAACGTCATCGCCATCGCCATTGCCATCACCATCACCATCCGCCTTCTCCTCCTCATCATCATTATCATTATCACCATCATCATCAGCTTCATCATCATCATCATCATCATCATCAGCATCATCATCATCATCATCATCATCATCATCATCATCATCATCATCATCATCATCATCATCATCATCATCATCATCATTATCATTCTCATCATCCTCATCATCATTATCACCATCATCCCCCCCCATCATCATCATGATCAGCAGCAAAATCACCATCGCACATGCACACACACGCACACACACTCGAACAGTCACCTTGAGGAAGTCTCGAGCGGAAGCTTCGTCTGTTAGTGAATCGCGAGGAAGTCTCTAGTGGGAGCCCCTCCCTACGGAGTCCCGACTTCCATGTTTGAATCCGGAAGCGTCATCCAAATCGCATAATCATTGTCGTCATTTTGGGGCTCCTCAGGCTTGAATACGGAGGAAGTCTCAAGCGGGAGCCTCGTCTGTGAGTGAATCGCGGGAAAGTCTCGAGCGGGAGCCTTCTACCCTATGGTGTTCCCAATTCCATGTTCGAATCCGAGCGGGTCATCGCACAACCGTAATTGTCATCACTTCGGCATTCCCCAGGCTTGAACACGGAGGAAGTCTCAAGCGGGAGTTTCGTCTGTGAGTGAATCGCGGGAAAGTCTCGAGCGGGAGCCCTCTTCCCTCTGGTGTGCCCAATTCCATGTTCGAATCCGAGCGGGTCATCGGGAAACCCGTAATTGTCATCTTTTCGGCGCTCCCCAGGCGTGAATGCGGAGGAAGTCTCAAGCGGGAGCCTTGTCTGTGGGAAAGTCTCGAGCGGGAGCCTTCTACCCTATGGTGTTCCCAATTCCATGTTCGAATCCGAGCGGGTTATCGGCAAACCCGTATTTGTCATCACTTTGGCGCTCCCCAGGCTCGAATACGGAGGAAGTCTCAAGCGGGAGCCTTGTCCGTGAGTGAGTCGTGGGGAAGTCTCGAGCGGGAGTTTTCTTCTTTATGGTGTTCCCAAATTTATGTTCGAATCCGAGCGGGTCGTCGGCAAACCCGTAATTATCATTATTTTGGCGCTCCCCACGGAGGAAGTCTCAAGCGGGAGCCTCGTCTGTGAGTGAATCGCGGGAAAGTCTCGAGCGGGAGCCCTCTTCCTCATGGTGTTCCCAATTCCATGTTCGAATCCGAGCGGGTCATCGGGAAACCCGTAATTGTCATCATTGCGGGCTCCTCAGGCTTGAAAATGGAGGAAGTCTCGAGCGGGAGCCTCGTCTGTGAGTGAATCGCCAGGAAGTTTCCAGCGGGAGTCCCTCCCTATGGGTTTCCCATTTCCTTGTGAGTCATTGGAAAACTTGTAACTGTCTTCACTTTTGGGCCGCTGAGGCTTGAATACGGAGGATGTCTCGAACGGGAGCTTCGCTTGTGAGTAAATCGCGAGGACCCACCTCCATGCTCGAATCCGAGCGGGCCATCGGAACACCTGCAACTAATTGTCGCTACTTTTGGGTTTCCCACTCCTGAAAATGGAGGACGTCTCGAGCGGGAGCTTCGTCTGGGAGTGAACCGCGAGGCTGTCTTGAGCGGGAGCTTGGGGCGCACAGGTTTCAGAGGTCCCAACGGTCCCACAGGCCGAGCAAAACCCACGGGCCCCATGGTTCCCACAGGTCGCACAGGTTTCACTGGTCCCACAGAACCCCCCGGCCTCAAAGGCCCCACAGGTCCCACAGGTCGCAAAGGTCCCACAGGTTTCACAGGTCTCACCAGTCTGACAGGTCCCACCGGTCCCACAGATTCCACAGGCCTCCCGGGTCCGATCCCACGCGTCTTACGGAGCTCGCAAGTCCAACAGGTCCTACAGGCCCCACAGGTCCAACAAACCCTACAGGCCGCATAGGTCCCATGGGTCCCACAGGCCCCACAGGCCCAACAGGCCCCACAAGTTCCAGGGACCCCACTGGTCCTACAGGGCCCACAGGTCCCCCCGTTCCCACAGGTCTCACAGGTCCCACAGGCCCCATAAGTCGCACAGGCTCTGCAGCTCACGCACCACAGGTCGCACAGATCCCAAAGGCCCCGCAGGGCTCAAAGCCCCACGGACCCCACAGGTTTCGACGGCATCACAGGTCGAATCCTGGTACTCTTGGTATCCTGGCATCAGCACCCTCGTTACCGGGTACCGTTACCGTCGATGATGACGACTCTTATGCGCACTGAAGAGATTTTCATGTGGCGTCCTCCCGTCGGAGTAATTGTGCAGTTTTCATTGTTCCTCTCTGCTCGTCATACTCCCCGGTGCTCGCAGCCCGCTGGCCCCTTTGACGCGCACTCAGCCCTTGCGATCGGGAACTTTGGCTTAGCGTGTCGCGCCGACGGTTCTAGCCCACCGCGCTTCGGCGCCACATTCGAACCGCTCCCCAGCTCCCAAGCGCCGACGTGCCGAGCATTTCCCAGCCTCCCGCCCCGCGGAGCGGAGCGACACGCCATCAGCTCGCCGGTGAAAGCGTGTCGCCGGGGCCGCCGCCGCGAGACGCTACGCAGAAGTGGGGCCCCCAGCGATCGCCCGATCGAGCGTTCCGTTCTGTCCCTGCCCCCCCCCCGCTGCTGCCTCTCCCCGGCTGCTGCCCACCTCGCCCTGCCCAGGCCTCTGCCCTCGCCTGCCGTCCTGCCCCGCCGCTGTGGTGCAGTGCCCAAGCAGGCGGGCGGTGCTTCTCCAGGAGGGGAAAAAACACACAGACGCAATTAATCGTCGATTCCCTGGAAAAGATGGCAAAGTATAGGAAGTGGGGGGAAGACAGAAACCCAGAAAATATAAGAAAATATGGGGAATCCTTTTATTTGTGCGTATTTATTTGTGTGTATTTATTTGTGGGCCCCTTCACTTCTCAGTCCACCCTCCCTTCGGTCCTCCTCCTCGCCTTCGGTCTGCCGGTGCTCCGCCGGCGGGCTCGAGGCTCGCTGCGTCGCAAGCCTGCCCACCGCGGCGGCGCCGCCGCCCCTCGGCCAGGGTCAAGGGAGGGGCCGCGCCGCGGCGGGGACGGGGCCGGGGCCGCCCCGCCCCGGGGCCTCCTGCCTCCTCGCCCCCGCGCGCGGAGGGGGGGGAAGAAGGGCAGGGAGCAGGTGAACGGGGAGGAGGAAACAGAGGATGGGGAGGAGGAAAAAGAGGGAGAGGAGGAGGAGGAGGAGGAGGGGGAGGAGGAGGAGGAGGAGGAAGAGGAGGAGGAGGAGCAGGAGGAGGAGGAGGAGGAGGAGGAGGAGGAGGAGGACGAGTCCGACGTGCGCCCGCGGGTCCTGGGTGTGTCGGGGGTTCCCGCTTCTGCCCATCCCTTCGGGGACCCGCCTGTCTTGGGCCCTGGCCGGGTTGCTCGCTCTTCTTGGCCGCCGCTACTCTTTTCTGCCCGCTCTTCTCTTCCCGCGCCGATTTACTCCAAGAAGCCAAGACGCATCAACGATGTTGCAGTGCCCCCCCTTCCAAGAAGATCCTAATCGTGTCAGAACGCCACTATTGGGGCTTCGGCGCCGCGAAT